AAATTAACTCTTTCAGAAGGGCTTAGTGCATGTTATGCACAAACAAAGCCCGTCTGAACAAGTTAATTTCAAACACATTTGTAAATTATTGCGATACTTTATCAACTCCAAAGTGGTCGTTGGGAAAAGGCACAACTTCTGGATCGGAATTAGCGCGCTGGCTTTGCTGCTAGCAAACGTGTATCAGAGTCATAGTAAAAAGAAATTGAACATTTGTTCATAAAAAAAATTCAGTCGTCAAGCTACCACATTTCACAAACACACAAAGACGAGGAAATATTAAGCCTACTACCGAGCTCGTTGTTTGAAAAACCATTGAATCAGCAACATTCAACAAAATCTGAATCCCGCAATGATTCAAACACATTGTGCAAAAACAACAAATTTCTTCCGAAGAAAAATGATTGTTTCAAACACTCACCGAGCAAAATCTTGTTCTTGCAGTCAGTTCTCTCTCTGGTTGTCGTCCGAAGGTGACCTGTGGTTGATGTGAAGGGTGGACGGCCCCACATGTCTTAAATAGTGCCATCGATTTCCTGAGCAGTGACTAAAACTCGGACCCTGGATTGTGATTGCATGGCTCCTGTGCGCTGTCAATCACACATCACCGACTCGCTTCATATTAATGATATGAAAGCAATGTTAATGTCTTTGAGGCTATAAAGTCACCATAAAAACTAGTCACCGAGATTGAAATGGACGCTTCTTATTGGTGGATATTGTATGGATGTCGGTGACACATCCAAACATGGAATTTATGATTGACACAAACAACCTGTCAGTCACAGACCACTCACTTGTGGTCACCGACTTGTCGTCACCGACTTGTCACCGACAAACTGTGATTGGTGGATAGACAAGTGACGTATACACTGGCCGTGATTCATTCAATGTACACAGTTGGCGCTTCAGTCTATTAAATTGTGTGGATATATTCGGGATTATATGAGGAATTAAATCGTACTCAAGCCAGCGGAGAAACTTGGGTTTAACTTGGGGTAGGGCACCTGGGGTGCGTTATTTTTACAAAGGCTGCACTAAGCGCAAAATAAACGTATTATTACAACAGTTAATGTTTTATTTCAGGCTTTCAAACTGGAGCCGGGGGGGGGGCTTCCACTGGGGGTGGGGGTATATGCCCCGTGTCCCCGTAGTTATGCCCCTGAGGTAGGCTTTGCTCCTTGATTGGGACTTTGAGGAAATAAAAACAGTTAAAAAAACTTCCATGAGCTTTAGGTATCATATACGGCCCGTGTATAATCGTGGCCTTCTAAATGTGGAAAAGGTTTTTACACTTTAATATTTCCCAGTTCGAATAATCATTTCCAGAAATGTTAGAATGTATGACCGGTGATGATGGACCTAAAAAGCAAACGTTCACTACCTAAAATAATGACACAGTTCCAAAATAGCATGTAAAGTGATTTAAGATCCCCCCTATATCAACAAGAAAGGCTTGTATGGAACGACCATATTTCCTACATTTGCTAGTTCGTGGCCTCCGCATAACGCGTACGATTCACCCTGAACTAGCCCTGGTGATATCCGGACAAATCACACCAGAGTTTGCCATTCTGTATTGCGAACCACCTCGATTTATAATAATCGCTGAAGCAATGACGTAGCGACGATGGGGGTGGGGTGGGATAGTTGAACGACCACATGCCCCCCTTCCCCCTCCCCTCCCCCATACCAGTGGGACCATACCATACAAGTAAATGACAAAGCCACTTGTAGGGCCTTACATGGCTTTGTTCCGAACCGGGCACGTAGCCTATGTTTACAAAACGACCGAAAGTCACCGAGGTCATGAGACATACCGGGGTTTCTCAAACTCCGGCTTCGTTCTGTATACTGCCTTCGGGCATGCGGCTTGGCAATAGAGCTGGATCCGGTATTGGAATGAAGCCGGGATTTTCAAAACCTCGCTTGCAGCTCACTCGACTTATGTCTAGTCTCCGTTCCGAACGCCTCGCTGTTTCGCCACTAGGTTAACTACCGGCGCTAATCAGGGTGACATTGTGGTAAGGCTACAGTTACTCCTCTTGACCAGCAGCGGCAATCTCTGGTTAATATTTTCGGAACCATCAACTTTGAAAGTTGGAAAAGCAGGGGTGGAGGGGGTTGGGCTAGACGCTACCTGACTATTGAGGGCACTGTTTCAAAATGCGTGTATACATACCCGCGTACGTATGAATACTTGAAATAAAAGATTTCGTTACATTACTTTTATTATTTGACAGTTCCTCTCCAAATTCAACAGATTTTTGTGATTTGTCACATTTAATCAACTTACGAAATGACGATTCCATGCAACAGATATTTCCTGAGTTATTTTTTGAAGCCCAGTGTGTTGCTTTTGTGTCATGAACGTTGACTCGAAATCGCTTAACACACTTCATTTTTGGGGTATATTAATTTAATTTTTTAATGCTTTCTCTCCAAATTCGAACCGGTTGTGTTACATATGAACGTCCAATCAGGAGGTATAATTTCACTCCAATAAATCAATTTTTTTTTAAGTTATTGTCTCCACAAACAGGGGATTGTTTTTATTCCATGAAGGTTGACTCAGATTCGCCTTGTATTTTGCGCGTTTACACGCCACACTGTCTTTGCTATATTTCAATTATTGGGGAACGATTCATATCCAAATTCGAGAGATTTGATCGATATATCACGTTAAATCATTGTGGAATATTTCAATGCAATCCATCAAACATTTCTTGAGTAATCGTCTCCACAACGAGTAGGTTTTGTTTTTGTTCCATGAACGTTGACTTAAACGCGTCTTCTATTTTTCGTGCTTAACTCACTTATTCTTTTGGTTATTTTTTTTTCATGGATTAATAATTGCTCTCCATATTCAACGTCTTTGGGTATTTCTTGAGTTATTGTTTGGAAACCAAGTGTTTTGTTTTTGTGTCACGAACGTTGACTTCAGTTAGGTGTCTCGTGTTGACAAAACAATATTTACGGTGGTGACCTCTATTTGTGAAGCGCGCCCTCTTTTGAAAGAAAATTAAAGCTGACTTGAATAATGAGGCAGGTTTTTCTCCGTTTTAATACAACGCATTTTTTTTTGCTATATTCTTTTTATTACTAGACAATTCCTCTCCCTTTTTCACAGATTTTTGTAATCTACAACATTTAATCAATTTACGAAATGTCAATTCTATGCAACATGTATTTCTTGAGTTATTTTCCGGAAACCGAGCGTGTTGTTTTTTTGTCATCAAATAAGTTCACTCAAAATCGCACTACATTTTCGGGATATATAATTTTTTTTAACTACTCCTCTATAAATTAAAAAGTGTGGTGTTGTCTATGATGACCAATCAGAAGATATAGTTTCAATCCAAAACAACACAATTATTTTCTCTAAATGTTTAACAGGCAAATGTTGCAAGTCAAACTTTACATCTAGTCAAATTTTCAATCCAATAAAAATGACTAGTTTTTGAGCAATCGTGTGGCGTAGGTGTCACACGATTTTCTGGAGGCCGTGACTTCACTTTGGATGGGCTTTGTCCGTGTTACTGAAATTATATTGCCGCCGATAATCTGTGTTTTTTCTCTCGATATTTATCATGCTTGTGTTGACTGTCATGCTCAACCTCTATAGGCAAAATTCCTAAGCAATATAACAAATAATTTTGAGTTATCGTGTGACATCGTGTGTGAATGTGTAATAGTAAGGACAGTTTTCTGGACACGCAACTTCAATTGGGAATGCAGTTTTGTTGTTTGTCGGTGTTACAAAAAACTATATTGGCGCCGATAATCTCTGTTTTGTCTGTCAGTATTTAACAGGCTTGTGGTGCCAGTCATGCTTAACGTACAACTATATAGTATTGAGTAAAAAGTGATTTGTACAAAATTCATAGAACATGAACGAAAATGAGATCGAAACAATTAAATGTTTTAAACGTGAAAAATATTATCCAAATGGAGCAACGTTCATGGCAAAAAAGTCACAACTCCTTTCCAGAGAAGAAGAGAAATTCCCAAGAGGTTCCTTTGTTTCCTCTTTTTCAAGGGCATTTTACCCAAACTCTTTCCAACTACTCTTTGCTTTCTGATTATATTTCGCCAACTCCGGAGAGACTCACCCTGTAGATTGTTTCTCGTATTGCAATCTGATCCACCCTTAGAAGCTAATAGAACATACCTCATTAGCATAACAAAAGGCCCTTCCCCGGCGTGGTAGTGAAGCTGCGTTCTCCCAGGGTATCTGTGTCTTTGTTTTTTTGTGTCGCAGTCTATCCACACGCTTTTATCTTACTCGCGTCTAAACGACAACTTTCCGTGATAAATTACAAGGATTTACTCCATCATGCCGAAGTCTCGTCAGAGTTTTCCTTCAGCTCCGTGCACGGTGTCTCGACCCCCTGACGATGAGAAACCCCCTTCGCCTGCAGAAGACATCTTAGCTATGGCAGCTAGAGAAATTTCCCCGTCGGGGGTAAATTTGGCGGACCAAGCCAAGGCTCCTCAGTGGGCTGACGGCTTTTCGGGCGGCGGGTCTCCATGCCCAAAGCCCCCTGCAAGTGTAACAGATCCGCGGCCTAGTACGTCAGCTCCGTCTGGTACTGGCCCTGGTGCGCCACGCCCACCGACTACAGCTCAACCGCACTTTACACAGTTCCCCGCTCAGTCGGGCTACTGGTACCCTCAGCCACCATCAGCTCCCTGGGGAAGCCCTGGTGGCCCTGGCCCATCAACGATGCCTGCTGGTTTATTCAATCAGTGGGGCATCCCTGTCCAGTATTTTCCGCAGCCGATTTACAGCGGTCTCTCGGAGCAGCCTCCCGCTAGCGCTCCAACTCTGACGGCCCCTGGCTCACATGCACAGCGCCCTCCTGCTGCTGCGGCTGATGACGGCGGCCATCTTGAAATAGTCAACGTTAGTGACGATGAGTCTGAGGCCTCCTTTTCCGCAGTTTCTACTGCCGGTAGAGAGCCCTTTCGCCTTCCTCACAAGAAAGACACAGGTATAAGTCCTATCTCAGAGAAGGTGATTTCATGGTGGGAGGAACTGAAAACCCACAAGTTGTCCTCCGACGATTATAAAGAGGAAATTTCACCGTACAACGTCCCGTCGGGCCAGGGAAAATTCTTTTCCGCCCCGGAACTTCCGTCTGGTTTGAAGAAGGTGTTCAAACAGGTAAATTCCTCAACCATTAACAGTGATGAGAAGTTGAGAGCTTCCCATACTCATATCCTCGAGGCAGTCAAACCCTTGCTACGCCTTTTTGACGCAGTTACAGATGATGAGTGCCCCAATGAAGTTCCTAAAGAACTTGTCCAGGATCATCTTTCGTCGGCCATTATTTTACTCGGCTCTGGCAGTCAAGGGCTCGCCTTGGCGAGACAACATGCATTTGATGACATTGTCGACCGCAAGTTTGATGTCCTCAAGAAGAACCCTCCTTCGTTAGGTGAACTCTTCGGATCATCCTTGATGAAAGACATTGAGGAGACAGAAAAGGTCAACAAATTGGCCTCCAAAGTCACGGGCACAGGCGGAAAATCTCAGCAGTCTAACCCCTTCTAAGGATAGACGTTTCACGCCTTATCAACTGGCCTCCAGGTCGTTCAGAGGGCGTCGCCCATCGCGGGGTGCCTACAATCGCTTCCCAGGTAGGAATTACCAACAGTTCAAGGATTTCCCAAGATCGCGAAATCCTAAGACGGCCTACGCCACTACAGATAAGTCTAGTTCAAAAAACTAGATGCCCAGCTGTTTATGCCCATCACTGGTGCCTCTCCAGCATTTTCTGTACCCCCTGCTGGTCGTTTGAAATATTTTTCTCACAACTGGTTGAAGTTGACTCATGACCCTTGGGTTCTTCAAGCCGTGGATGGTTACTGTATCAGTTTCACATCTACACCGGTTCAGTCTTTTGTTCCTGTGACCCGGGCTCAGTCCGAGGATCACGCTTCAATTTTTAACCTCGAGATACAGAAGATGCTCGATAAAGGTGCAGTTTCAGAAGTTCAACCCGTTCAGGGACAATTTATTTCTACTTTGTTCATGGTTCCTAAGTCTTCTGGGGATCTCCGTCCAGTGATTAATTTAAGACCTTTGAATAGGTTTATCTCGTACCATCATTTCAAGATGGAAAACATTTCTTCAGTGAAAGATCTCTTAGTGCAGGGGGATTGGATGTGTAAAATAGACCTGAAGGATGCTTATTTTTCAGTTCCTATTAATTCTGAGCATAGGAAATATCTCCGTTTTTTCTGGAACAAGGTCATTTATGAGTTTACTTGTCTTCCTTTCGGATTGTGTAGTGCGCCCCGTACCTTTACTAAGATACTTAAACCACTTGCCTTCCACCTCAGACAACGTGGTATTCGTTGTATTTTTTACCTGGATGATATCCTTATCCTCGAGTCTTCCTACGAGGGATGTGTGACAAATACTCAAGTGGCAACCAGTCTCCTTCAAGATTTGGGTTTCATTATCAACATAGAGAAATCCATTCTTGTCCCTACTCAGAATTTAACATACCTTGGTTTTCTTATCGACTCTTCATCCATGACTCTCTCTCTGAACCAGGAGAAGATCGTAAAGATAATCAGCCACTGCCAAGAGATTTTGGAGGCGCAAACTGTCACAGTTCGACAACTCTCAAGCCTCATCGGCAGGTTATCGTCCACAATTCTGGCAGTTTTTCAAGCCCAGATCTTCTACCTCAGTCTTCAGGAGGACAAAATCTCCGCCCTCCGCAGGGAGAACAGTTACGAATCAGCTGTCACCCTTTCACAAGCTTCTCTGGAGGAGCTGCGAACATGGGTGCAATGTCTGCATGCATGGAACGGTCGGCATTTTCTTCATCCGACGCCAGATTTGACCCTTCAAACGGACGCTTCTATGTCGGGATGGGGAGCTTGTCTTCACTCCACGATAGGCGGCCGTTGGACAACTGTAGAACAACAAAATCATATCAACTACCTCGAACTGTTAGCAGTTTGGTATGCCATCCGATCTCTCCTCGCAGAGAGGCGGAACATCCATGTTCTTCTTCAGATGGACAGTTCAACAGCCATTGCATATATCAACCACCAAGGAGGGACTCACTCGGTTCCAATGTCTCGACTAGCTGTCAAGATCTGGGTATGGTGTCTCAAGAGAAACATCACTCTAGCAGCTCAACATATACCGGGGTCCCAGAACATCACAGCAGACAGGATGTCACGAGTGTTCGACGATCGGGCGGAATGGCAACTCCTCCCAGAAGTCTTCCGCAGCATCATGGATGCCCTACATTTTGTCCCATCGGTAGACCTCTTTGCGTCTCGCCTGAATACACAACTAGAAACGTTCGTTTCATGGCAGCCAGACCCCATGGCTTGGAGGGTCAATGCTCTTCTTCTAAACTGGAAGGATGTAAACGGCTACGCTTTTCCTCCGTTTTCACTTCTTCTGAGAATCCTTCAAAAGATCCGCAGAGAGGAAGCGACAGTTGTTCTTGTCGCTCCAGTATGGAAGACTCAAGCTTGGTACCCCATGCTGCTGGAACTAGCAATAGACGTGCCACTGCTCCTCCCACGGAGAACAGATCTCCTTCAGCTTCCCCACAATCGGTCACAAGTTCATCCACTGATAGGCCACCTCCAACTGGCCGCATGGAAGTTATCAGGGCAAATCTCTCTTCAGAGGGACTTTCACAGACGGTGTCAGCCACAATCCTTGCTTCTTGGAGACCACAGTCCAATGCGCAGTATAACTCAGCATGGAGAAGGTGGGCAAGCTGGTGTTTACAGAGGAAACTTGATCCAGTTCACACCCCTGTAGCTGATTTCTTAGAGTTTCTTCAGCAGTTGTTTGACGAAGGTCTGTCCTACAGAACCATTAATGGCTATCGTTCTGCGATTTCATCAGCTCACTGCTTAATTGATAATTTGCCTATGGGTCAACATCGTTTAGTGAAACGTTTCTTTAAAGGTATTTTTGGACTTCGCCCTCCAAGACCGAAGTACAACAGCACATGGGACGTTGGGAAGGTCCTTAGATTCATCAAGTCTCTCCCCGACAATCGCCGTTTGTCCTTGAGGCAGTTAACCCTCAAGTTAGCCATGCTGCTTGCACTGGTAACTGCCAGTCGCCGAGCTTCCTTGACAGCTATTGATGTCGATAACATGACTCGATCATCTGATGGAAAATACCGTTTTCTCCTTGTCAAGCCATCGAAGTGTGTTTCTGTCAGTAAGCCCTTCCATCAAATTGAGATTTCCAAGTTCCAGCCGGTCAGAAATCTCTGCCCAGTTCGTTCTTTAGAAGAGTATCTTCAGAGAACCCGACATCACAGAGGTACTGGTTCTTCTAGGATGTCCCAGCTTTTCCTCTCCCATTCAAAGCCATTCCATCCAGTGGTCCCCTCAACAATTTCTAGATGGTTGAAAGACTTAATGTCTCAGTCTGGCATTGATACATCACAGTTTCAGGCCCACTCAACAAGAAGTGCAAGTACTTCAGCCGCAGCTCGAGCTGGGGTCTCCACAAGTGAAATTTTAAAAACAGCAGACTGGTCATCAGCCTCTACCTTTGCCAATTTCTACCACAGACACCTCCCTCTGTCAGACTTTGGAGGTGCTGTGCTGTCATCGGCAACACAACAGCTTTAAAGTCTACAGGGTGAGTCTCTCCGGAGTTGGCGAAATATAATTCCCCAGTTATGTAAAGTACTTACCTGCAATATAATTCGTCACCAACACCACGAAGTAACACTCTACCGTGTTAAACCATATTTTTTTTCGATTTTCAGTTTTTTGGATTTTTAAACATTATTCATCAAGGCCTACCATTGCACGAAGTTTCAAAGCTTCAAGAGCTTTACTTCAATAATTACGCTAAATATCCATGGCAACTTTTGCGCAAAAGTGACAATTTTCGTTTTCACGAAGTAACACTCAAGTTCCATTTACCATTGCAATGCATGGCGCGCACTCTGCTCATAAGTGAGCAAAAACGTTTTCACGAAGTAACACTCTTCTTGTAACAAGTTGCATGAGCGCGCGCGCGCTCACCTGAAGTTGCACTTTCCCCGTGTTGAATACATTGAAGAGTGTTACTTCGTGAAAACGAAAATTTACATGTTCGCAGCCTTTTCGGTTTCACGAACTAACACTCATTTTTTTTCTCTTATTTCTTGTTTATTTAATACACAAACGGGTGAAAAACAGCAGATTTATTAAATTCAATTTATCAAGTGTCCACAACGAGAAACCCAACAGAAAATACTCTGTCGTTTTGACGCAAAGTGTTGTTTTAGAAGGCGTTCAACTTTAGTTGCCGTTTTCTCCGATTGCTAGTTTTTACTGGTATGTAGATGGGTGTTACTTCGTGGTGTCGGTGACGAATTGGAATTATATGAGACAATGGAGGAGAGACTCAACCTCCCTCCCTTTTTCTTCATTTTCTTACTGCAGATAACCCGCCCGAGTAATTCTGGTTGGTTTCCGATGAGGTTTACCTTACTACCGTTACCTTACTACTAGCTTCAAAAAGACACAGATACCCTGGGAGAACGCAGCTTCACTACCACGCCGGGGAAGGGTCTTTTGTTATGTTAATGAGGTATGTTCTATTAGCTTCTAAGGGTGGATCAGATTGCAATACGAGAAACAATCTACAGGGTGAGTCTCTCCTCCATTGTCTCATATAATTCCAATTATATTGCAGGTAAGTACTTTACATAATTGGGGAATTGTCTCGCACAGAGACTGCTGTACCCATGCAGCGGTTTAATCTTTCAATAGAGGGCGCACCACATGCACAGTGGTCGCTACTGCTACCACGCAGAGTCAACACGAACTGGTAACTTTATTGAATAAAAGAAGACACTCATGGTTCGGGCAATATCTCATGGAATACTAAACGTATTAACTCAGTATTTCGTTGAGTAATTGTTCATAATGTGTTACGATCGCCAGTACAATTTCAAGTGAATTTGTCAAAGAACAAAAATAATGTGAGCAAAACAACCTAGTGTGTTAAACCTGAAAAATACCTTCCGAATGAATGACATCGTAAATGACAGAAAATACTATATGGTTCGGTTGATAAGTCACAATTTACAAATTGTATTTTAGTGAAATTCCGACCAATAATTCGTCATAATGTAACGCATTCAGGAGTATATTTTCATGGGAATTCGTTTAAAGATAACGAAAACGAGATTGAAACAAGATAGTGGACTGAAGTCGATGCGCGGTGAGCGGTGTTTGTTTGTTTATGGGAGAAATTGATGCTTGACGATAAAAATAACACGGAGTAACCTCGCAATGCCAATTCCTTCAATTGTTTCATTCATTCGTTGGCGGTTCCTGTCAATTTTCAAGATGCTCTTGTCAAATATGGCAAAAATGTTAGAAGAAATTTCATTTCAATGCAATGTGTTTATCTTGAGTTAATACAATAACTGTGTTTACACTGTTGAGGCAGAGAAAACGACATTTTTTATTCTCAATTTTCTACCTCGTTTGTCTTTTTTCATGACCAATCATCTAGCCAGAGTTCAATTCAATGCGTTTCTTATTTTTTTGAGATAGCGTGTCTACATGAACTATCGTTTCTGTGCAGGAGTGAGGCAAATGTTCTGTTTGGACTGTGACTGCAGCCTACAGCCAAGTTTTACTCCGTGTTGACGCAAGACACTGCTGATGGGGAGAAAAACAGTATTTTGTCTCAATCTTCTGTCTTGTTTTGTGTATTTGTCATGACCAGCCATTTGGCCACAATTCAATTCGATGCATCACTTAATTTTTTGAGATAGCGTGTCCAGCTTGACTATCATTTCTGTGCAAAAGTGAGGCAAATGTTATGTTTGGACTGCAACTGCAGCCGATCACCAAGTTTTTCTCCGTGGTGCGAAACAAGACACTGTTGAGGGAAAGCAAAACAATATTTTGTCTCAATCTTCTGACTTGTTTGTCTATTTGTCATGACCAATCATCTGGCCACAATACAATGCGATGCATCACTTAATTTTTGAGATAGCGTGTCCAGCTTGACTATCATTTCTGTGCAAAAGTGAGGCAAATGTTCTGTTTGGACTGTGACTGCAGCCTATAGCCAAGTTTTTCTCCGTGTTGCGACACAAGACAATGTTGAGGGAGAGCATAACAATATTTTGTCTCAATCTTCTGTCTTGTTTGTCTATTTTTCAAAACCAGTCATCTGGCAACAATTCAATTCAATGCGTCATGTAATTTTTGTGATAGTGTGTCCAGCTGGACTATCGTTTCTGTGCAAAAGTGAGGCAAATGTTCTGTTTGGACTGTCTGCAGCCTATAGCCAAGTTTTTCTCCGTGTTGCCGGAGGAACCTGCTGATGGTGAGAAAAACAACATTTTGTCTCAATCTTGTCTTGTTTGTCTATTTGTCATGACCAATCATCTGGCCACAATACAATGCGATGCATCACTTAATTTTTGAGATAGCGTGTCCAGCTTGACTATCATTTATGTGCAAAAGTGAGGCAAATGTTCTGTTTGGACTGCGTCTGCAACCCATCGCCAAGTTTTTCTCCGTGTTGCGACACAAGACAATGTTGAGGGAGAGCAAAACAATGTTTTGTCTCAATCTTCTGTCTTGTTTGTCTATTTTTCATGACCAATTATCTGGCCACAAGTCAATTCGATGCATCACTTAATTTTTGAAATAGCTTGTCCAGCACAGTACATCTATGATTGCCAATGAAGGATATGGTTTGTTTATGAGACTATAGCATTACACTTGAAATCACCTTTCATCATATCAATCCAAATATTGTAAACATTGTAATTACCTTTAAAAATAAAACGGTGTAATTTTGAGACAGTCACATGCACACTACATTGTTTCTTTTCAGTGAAAAGTTCAGGCTTTTTAAAGTAGCTCTACCCGCATTGTTTGGTTTACTAGTTTAAACAACGTAACCACTTGATTTTCTATTTCGCTCTCGGACGTTTCACGCCGTCAGAGAAAAAAATTATAATCTTTATTTTAGATTCGAGGGATTTATTGGGCTCTTAAATAGTTCGAAATTTTTGTAACATCAAAATTCTCTAATTAAACGTGGGCGGATCGTTTCGATAGATGTCTCCATCATTACAAAGTGCAAAGCTTTCATATTGCTAGAAAAATAGAAATTTGAAAACAAAATGTATTTTTCATTGTCAAAACTAAAAAAATTGCACGGGCAAGCAACTATAAACTGATCACTTAATTCCGGTTATGCCATTCTACTTGTCCGATATAGCGCCCTCTGTTGAAAATATGAAGAGCTCCCTCTATTGATATACATAAACAGCTAATTTGTGCTCCAATAAATAGCGCACTCTATTGAAAAACAAAACAGCGCCCTCTACCGACCACACAGTTACCAACTCGCCCCCTTACCAACTCGCCCCACTTGTTTGCCCCAAACGGGAAAGGTCAATAGAGGGCGCCACTCATCTTATCAATTGAGGGCGCTATTTATCGAATCAATAGAGGGCGCAGTTCTCTTATCAGTTGACAGCTGGCGCCAGATATCACCACATGGGGAAATTGCAACGTGATCCACAACTCATTTTGGAAAGGTAAATCTCAGAATAAAATACAGGATTCTTTTGGAGCAGTTACTCAAGATCAGCTTAGTAAGACACTCGTAACGTGAACGTATAGTTTTGTCCCATTCTGACTAATAAAAAAGTAATAAGTTATGCTGGCAATCATGGCAATGGCTAGCCCGACTGCGTCTGGCCGTACAGTACTATCGCAAGCTCTGTAGTACGGCCAGGCGCCCGATGCTTCCACAGAGACTGAATTTTTTTGGCCGCCGATGTAGCGATTTTGCTACATCTTTCGATCGCGATTATCTTTTCATCCAGGACACAAATTTCCATAGTTAAGGTTCGTAGTCGTAGAGCAACTCATACCTTTCGAAAAAACGTTCTTTGGTCTCAATATTTTCATCCATCTGGCCACAAGACGAATTTCAGTCATCAGATTCCACAAATATCGTCCCCCATGCGATCCCCCATGTGATTTCAAAATGGCGGCCGCGCTGTAATGTATGCATTATGCGAGCGCGCTTGGGCCAACCTCGTACCCAGGGTGTCGAGCAGTACGCGCCCAGCACTACCTGCTCTCTCACCCTGGTATTGGTTCATTTGCATGTGCAAGATTTTTGCACACGTATGCAAATGAGGAACAGTCTGGTGCCTGGATATGCGTTACACATTAGCGTTTGTTTTTGTATGCGGTGTCTGGGGTAAAAACAGAGTCAATTCGTAGCAGCGCGAGCACGGCGTGAGTTACGAAAACACGATTTTTGAAATCAAACTGTTACGATCTTATCGAGACAACATGCAGTATCATATTTCATATTAATATGAGCAAATTGGAAAGGAAATTAGTATTTTCGAGAAGGCGTGGACGAATGATCGCGAAAACACGTACTGCACGTTGTGAATATATAACACCAAGTACACGATAAAAATCCATTACTAGCCGATTACGGTATCCAATCAGGATACAGGAAGAAAGTTTCCTATCCAGGGTTTACTATTGGAAACGCGGTTGGAAATAAAGTAAGCACTGGGGACGAGGTTGCGCTTGGGCAAGATAATGAATATGCATTATTTAGTTCATGACCTCGTGTTTGTATGGCCAGCCGCGCTGAGTGTCCGACAAACGTCATAAACCATGATGCATATTCATTATCTTGCCCAAGCGCGCTCGCATAATGCATACATTACAGCGCGGCCGCCATTTTGAAATCGCATGGGGGATCGCATGGGGGACGTTATTTGTGGAATCTGATGACTGAAATTCGTCTTTTGGCCAGATGGATGAAAATATTGAGACCAAAGAACGTTTTTTCGAAAAGGTATGAGTTGCTCTACGACTTCGAACCTTAACTTTGGAAATTTGTGTCCTGGATGAAAAGATAATCGCGATCAAAAGATGTAGCAAAATCGCTACATCGGCGGCCAACAAAATTCAGTCTCTGTGGAAGCATCGGGCGTCTGGCCGTACTACAGAGCTTGCGATAGTACTGTACGGCCAGACGCAGTCGGGCTAGGCAATGGCTGGCAAAAAAAATGTCATTTAATGATTTAGGCCTAGGGCTAGGCTAGGCCTAGTCCGAAAATTTGGGACTCTTAATACTGTGTATGAGAGTCCCAAAACTTAAGGCATCCATATCGTGCAAAAGTTTGTGCTGCATAATAAAACCAGTGTGAATCAAATTTGAAAGCTTCTTTGGCACTACAATTTCCTCAATAATCCCCGAAACTTCTGCCTCGCAAAGTTGCTTTGGTGAGCATTACTTATTTACTATGACCAAAAATTCAGCTTTTAATTCTAATTTTGCAAAGAGTTATCGAAATCCAAACGTGAGACATCACGTTGATGTGTACTGCAATGCATTGTGCAAAAAAACTCCCTAGCTAGAACATTTTCATCGTGTAGATAAAACAGCGCCCTCTTGTTGATCTGAGTGAATGTAGAATGTTTCATTTTTTAACAGAGGGCGCTATATGTTCATTTGGCTATCGATTGAAAAACAAGTGAGCTGCAAGGCTCTTGAACTATACCTACATGTACCCAGAATACATTGGGAATCACATACACATTTCCAGAGCATGGAGATTGACGTGGATGGTTTTTGAACTGCCAAAAACTTGCCTTAAAATTGGATTTAAGGTCTCAAATTTCGCAGATGACATGCTTGCAACTTTATCATTTTGATGTATGTGTTGTGTGGGCATTCAATAAGCCTAATCGTGAGTAAAAAAGCGT